CAGGGCGGCGGTGCCGACGGCGGCGGCCTGGTCGAAGTCTGGCGCGCCGGAGGCGGTGGGCAGGCGGGCGCAGCCGTCGCGCTCGGCGAGGATGTACTCGGACAGCGTGCCCTGGGCGCCGAGGGGGTCGAGGCGGCCGAGGACGGGGTCGCCGGGCTGGATGTCGGTGATGTCGGAGCCGACGGCGACGGCGGTGCCGGCGAAGTCCATGCCCGGGGACTTGGGGAAGGAGATCATGGCCTTGGCGACGAGGCCGAGGTCGGGGAATTTGTAGTCGGCGGGGTTGATGCCGGCGGCGGCGACGCGGACAAGGACCTGCGAGGGCTTGAGGTCGGTGGCGGACGGGGTGGGCACGGTGGTGAGGGCGAGGGACTGGATGAAGGTGCCGGGGGCGGGGATCTGCCAGCGGCGCATCTCGGCGGGGGGTGCTGGTGAGGCCATGTTTGTGGGTGTCTGGTGGTTGTGGTTCTTGGGAGATTGTGGATGAGGAAGATGGTGGAGATGAGGTTGAATGAGGTTGAGTGAGTGAGGTTGAGATTAAGCTTGGCTGAGTGACGTCTGAAAGCTGGCCGGCTGAGCCCCGGGTTGGCTGGGCAGGGTCATGATATAAAGTTTGGTGGTGAAAGTGGGGTGACGGAATGCGGGACCCCTCCTCACTCCTTCTCTCCTCCTTTTTCCGCCCCTGGACCTTATCTCACTCACCTCGGTCTGTCTGATGAATCAACATTATGCTTGGTCAACGGTGGCATGATTTCATACAGCATTCAGCTAGCCCTTAACACCTGTCCGACGTCTGCATTGCTAATTCCACAAAAGGTTCAAAATACATCTGACCAGCGCCTTTTGCGAGGCACTGCAGACTGAGACCTCCCACCGGTGAGGCACGCAAAATTGCGTCACCGACTTGGCTTGCCCCGATCCGGCTCCTTGCGCCGATGAAAACTACAAAAAAAAAAAAGCCAGCGCACGCGGGATACGCGGGCTTTGGTGGTGCTCCCAATCCCGTGTTTGTGGGTATCCTTTTTCGTCCCTGGCCCATTGAATAGCGCCGTCTGCCGATTAGCTTGGAGCTCTTTTTTTGGCGGGCTTTTGGTAGCTCGGCCAACACATTGTGAATTTTTTTTTAATTTTTTTTTCAGATCCCCCTGTTTTCCTATGCTAGAGCGGCTGTTTTATCTTATATGCTTGCTTTCGTCGCGGCTGTCGTGGTCGCTACTACCGTTGCTCGTACTATTATCATTTTTGTTACTATCACCGTCGTCGTCTATCATTGTCGTCTACTATCATCTTCCTCGTCAAAGTCACCAAGTACATTCAATCACAGGAAAATTAAGCGGTCTCTAAGTCCCCTTGCCCCTCCCAATGGAACTCAATGAGGCACGTGAGGAAACGAATGGAATCCGACCTGTTTTTAAGCACGTTTCGTAATATCTTTCTGGAGTTCTACCGCCTCCAACGCCCGCCCGTCTTCGATTAAGCAGGAAATTCATCGCCAGACCAGCATTACTTCGTGGGGAATATTTGTGCGCCGGGTCTATACTTTGACTTATGAAGAAAACGCGAGATCAGAGATGAGAAAGGAAAAGAAAAAAAGCTACAGCTTTCGTCCAGAACCGGATCATCATGTAGACTCCAGACAACAGCGAAGAACTGTGCCATGTCGCCAGCATCCCTCGTTTCTGGTCCTTTCCGTCCTTGTCCATTTAACACCCAATTATGTAAAGTAGACATACATCAACCCAACAAGCCTTTCAACTGATCACACCTCTCACGCAAGATCCCAAAGAAATCTCCCCAGCTTCGCATCTTCTGGCTGTCTGCCCTCTTGCATATCGTTAAACATCTTCGCGGCACCCAGGAGCAGCGGATGTCTCGCCAAACGCCTTTTCTCCTTCGTGGTGCCGCCAAAGTTCAGGTCGATCAGCTCCAACGTGTCTTCAACAGCAAAACGACCGAGAACCAGCCCATGCTTCATTTCGTTCATCCATACCCGCTGTTTCCGGTAGGCAGGTTCCAACTCAGGCCGCGCCAGTCTGCCGAAGCCACTCAGCATTTCGGCGTGCGCCTGAAACAGCTTCAGCATGTTGAGCCGCGAAAGGGGGGTTTCTGCGGAAAGCTCTCCCGTCAGCAGTGCTCTAGCTTTGGCTGTGTACCCAGAAAGCTTGGTGGTTGCATGCTCTCGGAGGGCCTGTTCAATTTTGTGTCTATATGCCGTCGACGTGCCCTCCGTGCATTCAAGGCATGGGCAGACTAATGGGACGGGCCTGTTGTAGACCTTCGTGAAAAAAATGGGATCCTGAGAGTGCAGGTCAGAATGATGTTCGGTAAGCGAAATCCAGCAGCTATATGGCTCGGCCTCCGAGAAGGTCACTCCTCGTTCAAGTCTGGTGGCTGCTCCATCTTTTACAATGTCCGTTGTGCCGCTCTGATATACGGCGAGGAGGAAGACAGAGAGAAATCCGCTCATTGGCATGTTCCCTTTGAATACTGGCCAGACGAACATCTCGCAAAGTTTCTCCAGCTCGTAGTTCTTCGGAATGGAAAGCTCCTTGATATTCAAGCGGCGCATGGCGTTGTATAGGTGCAATATCGACTGGAAAACGGCATACCGCTTGCATATGCTCAAGCCAATGTTATTCGCGGTGGTGAGAAACTCCAACATGTGGCAGCCCATAGTCCATGGGGACTCGTAGTAGAGACCGGACTTGGTTTCCATGATGTAGTAATGAATGGCCGTAGACAGGCCGCGGACTCGGTCAACGACGTCTGGGCAATGTTCCAGAAGGTCCGTGTCTGGCTTGAACTGCGCAAGGCAATCCCGCACATGCAACGCAAGTTCGAGAGTCGCGACTCGGCATTGAGTGCCGCCGAGACGGCCACCATGTGTCGATGCCGCGTCTGCGGTCAGCATGAAGAGGTCCATTGTCGTGACAAGGAATATTGATGGTTTTCGCGGATTTTCTTCCTGAAGGAAGAATCGTTGAGCAACATCGAAGAAGGCCTCGCAGATCTTGATGCCCCTGTGATAGTCCAGTCTCAGGCGTTCCGCGCGGGCAACGGCTCTCGCAGAATGCCCACGCAGTGGTAACGAGACCCTGGCTGACTCTAGGGCTTCGTGAATTCGGTTTCGGTATGAATCTGGGAATGATGGCGGTTCGCTAACGATGTTTGTATTGGTGATGTTGTACGTGAACCTCTCTCCACTGCCCCATGGTCGGCCGTCGATCTGAGGTGCACGAAATCCGCCAATTCTCTGACCGTATTCCCCGATGGCTTTGGCTGTCTTGAACAGTCTGATAGCGGACTGGAGACATTCGTCCGGGTCCTGCTCGTCGTCAAGTTTCCGGACCGAAGAGCGTACCATTTGACAACTGTTGCACCGACAGTTGTACGCCTGCATGAGACAGAACTTATTGAGATATTCTTGCGGCATGTGATCTCGGTCTGACATATCATAGACGGCAAGACTGGTCAGCCAGGCGGCGAAGACGATGGGGACATCGCCTCTGGCCGCCTCTGCCCAGATCTGCTGAAGCTGGGCGCGCATCTTATTCATTTCCTACACACATTGACGGTCAGATGCGAGATTCTCACCACGTAGGGCTTGACGGATCTTACGATGAGGAACCACGCCGAGTCAATCATTTGCGTCATTTCGTCGTCTTCTAGGTCGAATTCTATCGGGCCCATGGGCTGAGCTTGAGGCTGCGCCGCTTGAGTTGGAGCAGAGCCAGGTGAAGACGCATCGCCGCTGCTGCTGCTCTCAGAGCCGCTACGCGGGGAGCCATGAGACGATTCCGCCGATTCATCTACGTGAAGAACCTGAAAAGCATTGTTCCACAAGGTTTGCTGGGCGTCCGCAGCGTAGTCGACGAAAATGACATCTGCCGACTGCGACTCAAGAGGCTTCAAAATCCGATGTATGTCTCGGAGTCTGAGGTGTGTCAGGAAGAGAACCATTGATCGATGAGCTTTCATGTAACATACGTCCGGATAATATGTTTGTGCCCCGCTTCAGCGTCGTCGTACATCTGGAAGACCATAGTCCTGTCTCGGATAGCGTCGTCAAGAGAGCTGATGATGGACTTTGGTACATCAGTTCTTGCCTCCTCTACCTTTTTTGCGACCCAGACCATTTGAGCGGTGTTTTTGAATGTGCTGGCGTTGCTGGCCTCATCGGGTACTATGGTGTGGTATTGACACCATAGCCAACGCAAGAAACAATTTGTCGCAGCTTTGTAAGAATCGCGGAGTTGTCGCAGATCCGGCGGGTGATAATCCAAGTCCATGGCTGATGAATCCATGGTCGACGAGGATCCGGTTCATCGATGGCTCGGACATTTTCAGAGCACTCCATCATCGATGCGGAAGGCTGCCTTAATACAAGTTTGGCTACTTGCAAGGAGTGGGAGGCATGAGTTGAGAGGTTCTATTCTGAGTTGCGCACAAGCCGCCCTCATTGTTTGCCGAAGTGTTTGTTTTATCAATACGTGGCAAGGATATCAGGTCCAAGGAATAAATTTTCTTTGGGCAGGATAAAATCGGTTACTTCATTCAACGCGCTCCACTCTCTCATCTGCATGAATGAAATTGGAGCCTGGCTGAACTTGGTGTAACGCACACTACGGAAGTCGTCGCGAAGTCCCTGGCTGGATGGGCCGTGGTGAACTCAAAGCATCCAGGGAGGGAAAATGAAGGCAAGGATTATTCGCTTTGACACCTGGGCGGATAAAACTTCTTCTGGATTGCTTCCGTCACTGTTGCTGTCTTTGCTGCGATTGTCACTAACTGTCGCCATCGTCCTTCTGATTCTCGCTCGTCATCCGCCTTCTTTCTGATTCTTGTACTCATTCTGGCAGCTCTCTCCACAGTCAATGTCTCTCTTCTTGATTCACCTGTTCAAATTTCAACGATCGGCATTACTCTCATGATCTGATGTCTGTGTCTCAAAGCAATCCTGGACATTGCCTCATTGCGACGAACACTACACCGGCCCAACATCAAATATTCCACATAAATTCCTCCAAAGTTACATCTGTCCTTTCCAACGACTTGAAAACACTCACAGCATGCTTAAACAACGGTTTCTTGGCCAGACGCTCCCTGTCGCGTCTTGTATCACCAGGCATAGCGTCGAGGATTTCCATAAGATCCTCGGCGGCAAATCTTGAAATTGAGAGACCTTTGTCCATCCAGTCCTTCCACAACCCTTGCTCTTTGTATTTGTTCTGAACCACCGGGATAGCGAGGCTACCAAAACTTTCCAGTATCGCCGCACAGGACCTAAACAGCGCGAAGAAGTTGACGCGCGCGATTGGAGCTGGTCCCTGAACCTCCGTCAACACCGCCTCTCGGCTCTTGCAAGCGTACCCGTACCATGTATCCTTGCGCAGGAGGTCACGGGCTTTCTTGACCTTTTGGAGATTGGCTTGCACTTGCGCAGCACGTTTGCCCTCGCATCTTTTGCATGGACAGAGTGCGACAGGCTTCTCGGTCTTGTACAACTTGCACAGGAATTCCCCATTCCTCTGGTGGTTGGTGTAGTGTTGGTTACAGAGTCCCCAGTAGGGTGCTTCGATAGATGGTGTGAGCAGGTCAAGTCCGCGTTCAAGCTGGAATTTCCCGGAGTGCTTGACCCAGTGACTGTTGAAAACTGCCAAACGAAAAGACGATAGGAACTTGAGTTTCGGGACGGTCCCCAGGAAGACCTCTTGAAGAAACATGCCGGATAGTTCTTCTAGCACGGGAATCTGCGGTATCTGGAATTCGTCGAAGCCTCTGATCCGCAATGCGTTGTAGAGGTGTAGCGTCGTTCTGAGAACGGCCCAGTACCTGCAGACCTCTCCTCCGACCCTGATAGCTGCCGTGAGCATGTCCAACATGTGACAACCCACGGTCCAAGGAGATTCGTGGTAAATACCGGACTGTTCATCGCTTCCATATATGTTCAGGCCTAAGCGTAGGGTTTCAAGACCCATGCTGCTATCTGGGTGGCACTGTTTGACAGTCTCCAAAACGGGTTCGGTCGCGCGGTACATGTCCATGGCGAAACGAAGGCCTTGGGCACGACAGGCGCTGCCCCTCAAACCGCCGTATTGCATGGTCGTCTTTTCAACCAGAAGAAACATGCTCATCACTACCACCAATTCTCCATGTACAACGCGTGTGTTCTGGAGCAGGAACGACTGCCCGAAATCGAACAAGGCCTCGCAGATATCGACGAATCCCTTGAGGAAATTTCCCTTGATCATCTCCACAACAGTGATTCCGCGTTTTAGCGGGTCCAGTCGGTTGTTGATGGCATCCATTAGGTCGCGAACTATTCGTTGATTTTCCGTTGAAAGGAAGTTTTCCAGGTGAGGGATTTCAGACGAGGGTGGAGTGCGAAACTGGTCCGGGCAGTTCAGTAAATTGCAGATCGCGGGTCGCCCGTGAACTTCAGGGGGCCGGTAGCTCTCCCCTAAGTTTCGCCCATAGTCGTTGATGATACTAGCAATCATCCAAAGCCTCCGCGCAAGCTTGACGTAAACGTCCGCATTCGACGAGTTCGTCCTGAATTGGATGAAGTTACGAATGCGGTTGCATTGTCGGCAAGTACAGTTGTGCTCGGAGAAGAAGCATAAGGCGGAACAATCCACCCTCGGTGTTTTATAGCAGTTCAAGTACGCAACGCAGTTGGACTGGAAAGCTGCGGCCAGAAGAGGAATCTTGCCCTCGCCTGCTGCTTTCCAGGTTTCCTCGAGGTGGGCATGAAACTGATGCATATCCTAGATTATTGTGAGCTATACTGGAAATGGAAAGGAGGGCATGAGTGAGGTTTACCACCAGGAAATGGGCCGCATGGTACGCCACACCTATATCGTCATCTTCCAAGATGAACTCTTCAGGTTTCTTTGGTTCAGTCTTGGACTCTGGTTTGTTTGGAGTAGACGGAGTTGGAGCAGTCGGCGAGGCCATGTCGCTCGCTCGCGGTGGTGAAGCGTGTGGAGAGATGTTCAGACCTTCTATCAAGGCAGCAAACGGGTTGGGTTGTTGCTCCAATATACCACGAGGCCTTTCATCTTCTTGACGGCCCAAGTAGTCTTCGAAAGGTACGTTTTGTGCCTCCAGGGGCTCCAAGATGGCCAACGTCTGTTCAAGCCTGCATATGGCGCCGATTAGCAGGACTTCCTTTATACGCGAACACCTGGAACGTACCTCCTAATGAATTGGCGATGCCCGCGATTGGCTTTCCCAGCGTCTCCATAAAATTGGCCAACACTCTTGCGATGTCGAATGGCGTCGCGTAGAGCCCCAAGAACGGAGCCCGGAACAGGTCGACCCGCGTTGTAGACGGTATGGGAAACTTCGATAATCTTACTCGTGGTTCGGAAAGGCTCCACACCTGCAGCGGATCGAGGATCTGCTTGGTGGTAAGCGCACCAGAGCCATCGCAGGAAGCAGTTGGTCGAGCTTTTGTAGATCGTGAAGAGGTAGCTGACTTTGGTCATGTCCAGAGTAGTCTCCATCTTGTGCTTGCAATGCCAGTTGGTTCCCAGAGATCATAGGAGCAGCAGTACAACGACCTGGGATTGGATTCTTATGAAATCCGCAGGAGTCGAAAAAATGACATCTGTATTTATGACACTCGAGATTCGGGAGGACTTATTCTTTTTTCTTTTTGTTCTATTTTTCGACGTCAGAGAGGATTTATTCATCTTGTTTCTATTTTGACTCCTTGTGAAACGGATGTAAGTTCTTGTTCGTTTGAGTGTTTGTGGAACCGACAACGACAGTCAAGGAGTTGGCTACAATGGCCATTCATCAGTTCGAGTCCAAGCCGTCTATCAATGAGTGTCCACCCATTCGAAGCAGAGTACAACTGTCTTGGCCTAGAATGCCTTCTCCCTAAGGTACAGTTCATAGATGTTGATTTCCGGACACGTACAGGCAACAAAGACAGTAATGTGGAGGACAGGAGCTAGAGACGCCAGGGACGACAGGGTACAACCATAGGGACGATGCGAATAATAGGGTTAATATTAGATGCAACAGGTGAGATATTGCAGAGCATCGTGGAGAGCAGATGAGAAGCTTACATGTAGCGGTCTATGTGTTGATTAATGCGCAATTTATCACAAACACCCCTTTGTATTGTGTCTAATAGCAAAGATGCAAAAGCACCTGGGTATCTTTTCCTAAGTGTCCTTGCCATGCAGACGCCTTTCGCCAAAACACCACACCAATGACCCAACGACATTACCATCTAAACCCGCGGGCACCAATCCTGCGTCCACTGACCAAGCTCCTTCTCGCTGCAGACACGATCCATATCATCCTCCCTAAGCGCCAGGAGTACGTCCCACGGTGCGTCTCCCTTCGTGATTCCGCGTCTCTGCATGATGTTCATACTTCCATCGTTGGCAGAGTACGTCTTGCGCACAAAGTCCGCCTTCCCACCAGTGCCAGGGATGCGAAAGTCGACGTCGGCGCCCATGTGAACCCAGACGCTGCAACCCAAGCCCGCGTGATCAGGCTGGTTCGCCTTGCGGAAAGCCGCGCCCTCCATCGTGGGGTCCTCGAGAGATGCGGCGAGGGCAATGCGAGAGGGGATGTAGTCGGGCTGCTTGACCTTCTCGACCGCTTGTCTGATCAGCCACGCCGCCTCGAAGATGGCAGGGCGTGCGTCGCTGGGGAGCTCGCCGTTGTGCTGAAGTTGCGTGAGGTTGCCGACCTGGTCGCCAGCCATGGTTTGGGTGTATATGTTGCCCCAGGCTGTAGCAGGGAAGGCCGGAGAGAGGCGAGGGCGCGCGTCGGCTGCGGTGGTACAGTTGGTGTCATCGGAGGGCGACAGATGGGGAAGGCGCGACCGAGTGACGTGGACCCAGACCACGGCGGAGAGGGTGTCGGCCATGGAGACGAAGGCAGTGCTACCGTAGGTCTCGCGGAGGTACTGGATCGCCTTGGTCTGGAGATTCTTCAGGATTGCGTTGTTGAAGCTGAAGATTTTGCAGACCGCGTGTGGGACCTTGGTCTTTGTGGAAGAGGCGGAAGAGTTCTCTTTGTCGGCGAAATCATACTCTGGGAACTCAGCACCTTTGATGTCGGTGTTCTCGTACACAGACAAGCTGGGTCTGGCTTTGAGCTCCGTGAGCCAAGTTGGCTGCATCTCAATGGCTGGTTCAGGGAGCGAGCAGGACTTCATCGACTCCTCTTGCGCGATTTTGCCGAAGTACTCGAGGAAAGTCTTGATGAAACATCCGTCAAAGATGCCGTGGTGCGTCGAGAAGCACACAAAGAGGCCACCGCCAGTCATCTCGGTGACCTTGAGAGTGACAGGAGGGCAAGATTCTCCAGGCCTGGGATGGTTTGGCGAGAGGGACAGGACGTCCTTGTCCATCGCAATGGGGGGCATTCCGAGAGCCACAAGCTCCTCGTAAGTGTAGCCTCCGAGCTGGCTGATACGCTCGCAACCGAAGAGATCAGGGCGTCGGGTGAGATCCAAGGCCTTGTCGTCCAGGGTGTAGGCCAGCTCGAGGCGGTTTCGGCCCACCGCGGCGGGGCGAATCTGGCCAGCCAGAAACGGCCAGCGGGCGAGGGCCTTGTGGAAGCATTCTTGAAGGTGCTCCTGGGTGGTGACAGATTCGTATCCATCGCTAGTGTTGAGCGCGAAGATCGATCTCACGTAGATCCTCGGAGCGATCTGGTCGAGAGGGGAGAGGGGGAGGAGGTTCAACGAAGTGAAGCGCATCTTGTCCGAAGCTTCGTTTGTGGTAGGATGGGATTGATTTCCAGAGTAGACGATGAGGGGAGAAGGGATGCGGGGAGAATCTCGTGGCCGAGGAGAATCTTGGAAGATTTTGGGAGGGCGATAGTTGTCCAAGAAAAGGGTGGTGAAGGTGGGGGGAAAGTTGTACTGGTGAATGAGGTGAGCAGCTTTTGCGCTCTGGGTGAATGTGAGAATCAGCTGGCACCCCTCTCGGTGAACGACCAGAGCAGGAGCGCACCTGCCCTGAAGGAGCTCTCTCCAAGACGAGGGCGTGGTGACCCGGGTCGTCGACATACCGCCAGGCTTTCAGAAGCCGAGAGACGAGAGACGTTCCAGGAAGAGATCATTGATCGCGGCAGATCCCTGTCTGCGAAGCTGAATGCGAGGGTCGGACTGATGAGGTCGAAGAAAGTGTGAGTTACGGTCTTCGGCCTGCAACACCTCAATATCCGCTTGGCCAAAGATGGCTGGGGTTGACGATCTCCTTGTGATCATTTCCATGGTTTCTATCGTGAGACCTGAAGACTTAGTTGGTAATTGTCGGCTGAGGTGTTGTGACGATAATCTGAATCGGAGACGGAAGGGGTATGTGCGTGTGTGTGTTCGTAGCTGGGGAGAAATTGGTTGAGAAATGAACACTTCCGAAGGGGAAGATGATGGCTAGTAATATCTAGTCAACATGATATCTCCGGAACGCTGTTTGGCATCAAGGTTGATGTCTTGAGTTCGTTGGTAGGTACCATTTCGGTGCATCGCACCAAAGAGGCAGACAACTTTGATTCTGAACAGCCAGGCCTTAAATCGGCAGGTTTCGTAGACTGACTTCACAAGGTGAATGTTCAGCAAAAGTCCCCTAATAACCATTTTAATGGTTCTCAAAACTTCGTTGATTGTTGTCTGAAGTATGACGGGTTCACCATCTATCTCACAACGATGTGTTATGGATTTCCATTGAACCGCCTGTTTTGCCTATGCCACCCGACATCAACAACTATTGTTGTGGGGTCATGCATACTCTGCTTTACTGTCGTCGTATCTGCGATGGTTGACATTGGCATCGTTGTTCTTCCTTCACGATTGCAATCTTGTTGAATGTGGAGTCAATTGAAGGTTAGAACAATCAATTCTCTTGAGTAGCAGAGGTCTGATGTGGGCGGGTAGAGCCCTCCTATGTACACGAACCACCCCTATTCCGATCTTCATTCATTCAGAGTCATCCATCACCGCAATGTCGTCACAACAGCGACAGGCAGACCAAGACTCGCCCGTCTGGAGAAGGTGAAACTCGCAATCAAAATGTTGCTGGTCCTCGTAGCCCTCGTAGCACTCCTCGAAACCCGTTGGCTCACCCCACTTCGTGTGGTCGCACCACTTCCATGATTCGGTCCATCCGCAAGCCACGTATCTGGACCCTGCCGTTGCTCCTGGGATGATAGTAAGAGGCTCGCATCCTCTCATGTCTCTGCCGCTGCCATTCAGGCTTTCGTCGCTTTCATGCCAGTCCCGTCGTACTTGATGAATGAATTGGACTCCCGCCTCTTGAAGAACAGCGCGAGATTCGCGAATCCACTCAAAGGTATGCGTCCTGTCATAGCTCACCCGATGCAGTAAGGAGAGGCTTAATGTTTGAAGACAGGGGAACGAGCCATGCCTGACGCTATGGGCCAGGGACGCGAGGTTACCTCCCATGTTGAAGAAGGTGTATAGAATCTGAAAGTGCTTGATGTTCGGCGGAAGGAACCAAAGAATACTACTAGAGGGCTGAGAAGGACGGTACAATGACTGTTGGTCGAGGGTTAGATCTTGCAAGACTTCGAAGTCTTCGAAAGACGCGATTGGATCGTAGGCCAGTCTCTCCTGAAGTGCAAAACTACACTGGTCGTCGTCCTCAAGAATGCATCGGAGATCTTGGTTGCCTGTACTTGGGATTCGGACAAAGCAAAGTCTTCGCAGCGTTGCCTTCACCTGCTTCAAAGCCGCGTTGTAATCTGATGGATACCAGTCCCAAACAGGATTTGGGAAGTAGTACTCCAAGTCCTCGAGTGCCGAGCAGTTTGAAAGAAGAACCTCCAGCGAGTCTGGGTCGAGCCCAACTATAAAGAGCTTCTTCAGATTAGCCATTGGATTCTGGTTGGCGAGTGGAATCCTGCCCGAGTCCGGGGCAAAGTCGATGTACAGCTCCTCCACGTCAGAAGCAAACGATCGTAATTTGAGCCATTCCGGCATGTGAGCTCCGCCGTAGCCCCCGCCTCTCAGAAGCATCCTCTTGAGCCGTGGCAGTTTGAAACCCGACACAACACATGGGCATCTGTCGCCGTCGACAATTACGAACAACGACTCCAGACTTTCTGCGGTTTTCACTATTGTGATCGCTTGAAGCCAGCAACGCAAGGCATCCCGATTATGGAAGCAAGTACTAAACCAATCCAGCTCTGTAGATGCCTCCATCGCTGTACTAGACGTCGCAGTCGCCATCATAGTCGTCGTCGTCGCCGTTGTTTGAGCACCCGGCATCCAAACTTCCCTCCTGCCACAGCTGCACATAGAAGTGTCCTCCAGCGGCCCAGGAAGCTGTCCGGTCTGCACCACATGGCTTTTGAGGAGGGTGTAGAGTTCGCGGGTGATGGGCATGCTTTGATCATTGTGAACGAGTTGTAGAGATCGGACCATCCGGTTCAGGCGAGGGCGCTCGATAATGGTGCGCAGGAATAATGCAAGTTTGTCATCATCTGGCATTCGCCGCGGCATGCTGTGTCTTTCGATTCCGTTGTCCACAACCGGAGCCAGATTTCCAGTTGCGTAGTAGTGGTAGAGCACTGGCTGCCCTAGGCTGAGCAAGGCGCGGCTGGTGCGACACAACTTTGCCAAGGCGCGCTTGTCTTCGATGGATTCCTCCTCATCGGCATTCACGAAGTGCGTCGGGTTTCGGCAGTGGTAGCAGAGCTGCTCGCAAATCTGGTTGAGGATCTCAGCCGGGAGATCGAGCAGGTTCGTCATGATGAATTTGGTGGCCTAACAAGGACGTGTCGATGTACGAAACAAAGGAAAAAGGGAAGCGGTGAAAAGATTGTCGAGGCGAGAGTGGTGTCGTAAAAACAAAAGGTCGTCAGCGAAGGTGAGATTTCGAAGATGCGGTAGCGGCATGGCCCCACCCGTTTGCTTAATGCGCATCGGGGGGAAGGCACTTATGTGGGGCCAAGCTTGGTTGCACCTTCCCGCTGGGAGTACTGTGGCCGCCAGACGTGTCGAAAGGCGGCGACCAAAGGCGCAGAAATCGACTTGCCCGTCTCTTTCATCGCCTTTGCCCCCTTTAGGTTGTCACTGAATAATCCGCAGGAACACTCATAACATCAAGATAGCTTGGATGAAAGGACAGATGGAGAGTAGATGAGAAACTGAATCGACTAAAGCTATGCGGTCCTGATTGCCCGTCAAAGGGGCAAGAAACTTTACAATTTGATCCAATTTCCCAATTGCCATATAGTTCTATCTCTCCAAACCCTTTTTTCGAATCTATTTTCCCAAGCTCTCAAAAGACTTCTCATCGTGCGTGTACATCTTCTGGTTGTTCGTCAAGTACGGCAGCTCAGCGGCGTTGAACACGGGGCGCGAGAACCGGTTGTACGCGATAAACGTGTCGCGGTCGCCGACCATGGCGTTCTTCGGCGTGGGCACATGCATTGAGATGCGTCGCAGCTCGACGGCGTCATCCTGGATGGGCTTGACGCCGGCGTACTTGTAAATGAGGTTCAGCGCGGGGATCGAAAGGCCGTGAACGACGATCGAGAAGAGCACCAGCCAGTAGACGACGGGAACCATGACGCGGACGAGGTTCGTCTCCTCCTCGTCACCCTTGCCGAGCTCCGGGAAGAGGTGTCGGGTATGCTCGACGTAGAAGACGGCGCCGGCGCCGATGGGACCAAAGTAGCCCATGAACAGCGCCTCCTTCCAGTTCTGGCACACCTTGGGCATGATCTTGTAGCACATCAGGATGGCTGGGATGCGGCGGAAGAGGATGACCAAGCCTCCGAGCGCGAACAGGCGGCCATAGGTGAGACCGGTGACGTCGGGCTGGTTAAACTGGTCCCAGGGCATGATTGTGCCGATGTACATGAAGCCACCGAAGTTGAGAAGGACATCGACGCAGGAGTTGACTTCGTCGTGACGCTTCTCGGTCTCGGCAAGGAACTCGCCGTCCCAGTTCATGGCGTTGCCTGCAACGAAGCAGGCGAGGAGGTCATCGGTACCGAGCATGCCGCAGATGCCGACGAGCCACAGCTTTGAAGAAGTGGTTAGCTTGCTTGTCGTCGACGCACAGTGTTTGATAACTTACCCCGATGGCGGTGGGGGAGAGAAGGTAGCTCTCGGAGTCGACCCATTGCTTGCGCAGGGCAAACTTCAATGCCTTACCAGACGCAAAGCCGACGATGACGCCGATGGCCACGGACATGAGGACGATGTAGAGCCAGGTCTCGACGACCCAGTTGGTAAGGGCCACGCCGACGCCGCCACCCAGACGACCGACTTCCTCCTCCGAACGAGCAAAAAGACTCATGGCCCTCTCGGCGACAGAAGCGGTCTCATGTCCTTCGCCGGCACCAGGGATGTCGGCGTGGCGGATGAGGTAGACTGCCAGCATGAGGAAAGGGAAACCTGCAGGGTTGTCAGGTGGGTGAACTGAACCGATGCCATGGAGTTGTCAACATACCAAAGCCGTCGTTGGCACCTGCCTCAGAAGAAATAATCTCGCGCAGGGGGCGGGCAACAAACTTGTCGGCAAAGGGTCCTTTGGCGATGGCCTGGGAGAGGATGGGGTCGGTGCAGGTGACGCAGGAGCCGATGACGAGGGCGGCCAGCAAGGTGACCTTGGGCACCGTAGCAAGCATGCAGAGGGTAGTGCAGAGCCACATGATGGTCATGATGGGAAGCAAACACAAGGCCATCTCCTTCCATCGCAATTGCTGGTACTTAGCGGGCAGCTGGTAGCCGGCGATGACCAGCTGTACACCAATCATCACGCGAGCGAGGCCCTGGTAACAGCATGTTGGTCAGATCGGGTTCGAAATCTGGGGTTGTGGAGGAATGGGACAGTTGGGCACGAACCAGGGTGATGGCGTTGGTCTGCCCTTCCGTTGCGGAACCCCATCGTGTGCTGTCGAGGAATTTGGCTGCTAAAGGCCCGAGCAGGACACCGATGGCGACGGCGGGCACTGGGGAGTGTTGCTTAGTATATGTGATGGATGGAAGCAAACATGATGTGAGTCACTTACAGGCTTCACCCAAGTACCACTTGCACTTGATCTTGACCGAGATGATGCCGTACAGTAAGGTGAACAGTCCTTTGACAAGGGTCAGTACACACCACTTGACGGATGATCAACCGCATCAGCCCATACCAAGGACGCCGAGAACAATGTTCAACTCGCTAACATCGAGGGTCGGCATCTTGAAAGCGTGCGAAGGGTTGTCGCGTTGTGTGTTGGTAGGAAATCTCTTGACCAGCAAGACGGATGGGATGGTGATTCTTTTTTTTTTTTTCTGATAAAACGCCGTTGGCAAACAAACAAAATATGCAAGAATGAAAAGTCGACGAGAAAGAAAGAGTAGTTTAAAGGGAAAATCGAAATGAATGAGGGACAGCTTGGCAACTCACCAGTCGGTCTTCCCGAAGTTATTTAAGTTGGTCCACAAAGATTATGATGTTCCTCAATACGGCAGACTACTGAGACACTTTTCCAGGGGAAAGATGGGTGGTCGCAGTGGACGTGGATCGCCCACCCTGTCGGGGGCTGCACGTTGGCGACGTCAAAAGCCTGGCACGGCCGAACGGGGCAACGTGCGTGCTGCAGCATCCGCTCCACATCGCCCCGATGGGTGAAGCTTGGTCAGGTACTACCACATACCGACGGGCAACGTCTCGAGCGCGGCCGATCACGCCTAGCGCACCGAGAGAGACAGCGCGTTGGACAGAATGCCCAGCCTCAGGTGAGACGGTTCCTGAGCGAGCAGGCGACGCCACCAACGGTCGTCATTGGAGTCTGGGCTGGGCGGCGGAGCGCGACGACGAACAGGGCGGCATTTCATGTTTGTGCAAGGCCTGTGGAGAGATTTCGCCGGGGCGGCGGTTGGCGGCGCGCAACACGGATCGAGGCTGATACCTGAGCAACGTCACAATGTCTTTGGCCTCTTCTTCAAGTGCCGAGATCTTGATTCATGAAGATAATTATGGTGCTGGCCTGTCCTATTTGGTGATTGATGCTTCGCAGATTGACCAAAATTAAAAAAAAAAACAGACCACCAGATTTCCAAAGAAAGGACTTAGAATGCAACACGACGGCTAATAAAGAATTGTGGGTGTCAATAGGTCTCGCCGAGTATGCATCTGTAAATACCGTGACCAAAGGAGGCATCGAAGGAGGATGTCCGTCTGTGGTGGAAAAGGCGGGTGAGAGAGAAACATCCCACGGGCTTCGAGTTTCGCGGCGAGAGATAAAACAGCCAAGAACCCCGCCAAGTCGTCGGAGTGGCGATCGTCAGCGAGTGGACGCGTCCGATGAGATTTCCGCCAAGAGGCCAAGATGCCAAGCACCAATAACGCCGAGTCCCGCCCCATTCCCCCTAATGGACCTTTGGGGCACACGAAAGTGCCAAGATGCGTTCTAAAAAAAAAGTAGACGAGTGTTCAGATGGCTTTGGATCGAAAAATCCGCCCCGGAAGGTCTCTTTTTGAATAGGTATTCCCCTGATGTGCCGGGAGCATAAATCGCAGCCTTGTCGTGGGAACGTTGAGGCGGAGACAACGGGGAGACCGGCCTCTGGTGCACAGAAGCCAGCCTCAACTAGATGAGATGACAGTCAGAAACTATCAGGCTACGACGTTGTATATTCAAACAGTACATAGAGTGAAGTATTCAAGGGGAAAATTAGAGGGCGGGTCTCCAAGCAGAAGTAACCACCCATGTGAGGTGCAAGACATTCAGTACATCGTGATGGAATCGATTCATCTGTTGTCTCACAGGGAGATATATCCCAAAAATAACCATTTGAGAAAAGATGCAAAGCTCAAACGCCATGGAAAACTCCAGTCTAGGCGCCGCGGAGATACTCATTCCAACGCCCGAGTAAGGCACTGCGGATCGCAGAATGTAACCTCAACATACGCCGTCATACAGACGCACCCCAATGAGTGATGCGCATATGTCGACCAACAACCGTCCCGCACGTGATTCCTCTCTCATCCCGTCGGTCAGTCGTCTCATGTCTTGCGGAGAATGTCGTCCGTTGCCAAGCACGGGCCAGTAGAGGGGGTCTTCCGTTGCCAAGCACGGGTCAAGACATCGGGATGGCCCCACACCCGCTGCTTTTCGGAGCGGGAAGGAGCTCATGTGGGGCCGGTGTTGGTCGCGCCTTTCCGCTCAGTAGTATCATCAGTAGGGGCAGGCACCACGCACCTGACGAAAAGTTAGGTCACAACGAACCTCATCTGCCCCGAGGAAAACTTGTTCATCACTCGAAAGGGAACAACTCTCGGAATAGACACGGGCTACATAAACCTCACCTCTGCCACGGTCCCCGGCCATCTCAGAGCTTCCTTCGACTCGCGCTGGTTCCCACTCAGAGCCAAGTCATGAGTTCCTGCCAAGGTTAGCCTGGAGTAAATCGGATCAACATGTCAATTGGCGATTCCCAACAATTCTGTCATTTACCTGGCAACTCGGCGACTTTCGTTCACCATAGATCCCTCGCAGTGGCGGGATTATTACAGCGACTTGGGCGTCAGGCCCACTGCCACCTCGCAAGAGATCAGACGAGCATTCCTGGCTCTGGCGAGAACCACCCACCCAGACAAAAGGGCACCTGGAGACTGCAGCGACTCTAGCGAGTTCCAAAAGGTGCGTGTGCATTTCATTGGTCATGCTATTCCACGATCTTCGTTGCCGTTTCATTTCTTTCAACATCGAACGAGTACTTATCTGACAGTCGCTCCACTCGCAGGT